GGGAACGGACGGTCTTGATGCGACCGAAGAACGGAACTTGCGTTAAAGACCCGGCTAAAGATGTGCAGGGTCGGAATAACGGCGCTCGGGCCGGTCGCACGCCGGAGCCTGCCGGCACGGCTCCTGCCGGGGTGGCGGGGGCGGCAGAGGCCCCCGCAGCAGCCGGGGCCGCGGTGGTGGAGAAGGCATCCTCGTTAACGCCGTCCGCGTTCTGGGATCGCTTCGTCAGCTTTAACGGCTCCTGCTACGGGCAAAGGAGGGACGTTACCCGAAGCCTGAAAGGCGCGGGGGAGCCGAGCGAGCCTGGCCGCTTCCTCGGCCGCGCTGGTTGAAGGCAGTACCTGGATGCGCTGCCTGACGCGTTTCAGGTGGCTGCGGGACGCGGTTGCAGGGCACGAAGGCGGGAGATGCATCTTTAGGTCACCGTAAGCGGTCAAAACAACGGCATTTTGTTCTTTTCCTCCTTTCTGATTTGCTTGTGACTCTCAAAGCTTCGTTTTCCAGCCCTCTGGAGAGCCCTGTACCCCTGCCTGGGCACTGCCAGCAGATCGGGGCTCCGCTGCGCGCACGGCGTCTCCCCGGGACCGGATGGCTCTGGGCAGAATTACGGTCCTTTTTGACAACTGACAGATGTGAAAACAAGTGGTGGTAGGCTGTGGTTACCTCAGTCGGTGCCTACAGGTTTTTGGTGGACTGAGGTGATTTATTTATATTCCTGATCAGCTTTAGGACGGTTTTTTACCTTGTTTTGGGCCAGAAGCCTTGATTTCTCCAAGTAGGCTGCATTTCAATAAACTTGGACGGGGATTTTCGTGAGGTCTGTCCACCCTGTCTCTTTGTTCTGGATTTAATTCTAAAATTAACTGTAAAGTTTCTTTCTGTATTTTTAACTAGGTGGAGGCAGACTTGTGGTTTGCATCGGTGTGTTTACCTGTGGTGTTGGGTTTTGGGTGCCAGTGTAATACGCTGTGAGTAATGCAGTTTACATGAAAAATCACCACCGTCCAGTTATAATCAAACAGGGAAAATATTTTTATTTTCAGGCTCTGGAGATACAGCCAGAATTTTTCGTTCACATGGCAGCAGCAAACTCTACTCCGCCTGGCTCTCTGGATCTAAACCAGCCTGGATTTGCAAAGGAGATCCTGGGAACTAAACTGGAGGTCAAATACCTCTGCTCCGATTGCAAGAATATATTGAGGAGGCCGTTTCAAGCTCAGTGCGGACATCGCTACTGTTCCTATTGCCTGAAGAAAATTATAAGGTAACTTTTGTGCCTTCAGTCTGAAGACAAAATGCTTGAAAAGGCATTTTCCAGCAGAAAAGGAGAGAAAAGTCTCGTTTTCAGGGCCTTCTCAGCGAGGGAGCTGTTTAATCGTTGAGGTTCAGCATCGGGTCTTCTTTAAGGGAATGTGTAATCTCTGACTTGCTTTTATTGTTCCGGGGGTTGCTTCAGAGTTCCCTTTTCCAGAATCTCCCGGATTGTTTTTGCTGTTCAGGTGGCGATCCAGGTGGATCACCCATCTCCTTCAGCCTTCCTCACAGCTGCTGAAGGAACTTGCTCCTAAAAGTCATCGTATGGTTGTCGTGCCACAACGGGAGAAATTTAAGCATATGCTGCCTTCCAGAAAAGTTTCGTAGTGTTCTCTCTCGCTCTTGCCTTTAAGTGAGGGAAGTTGAATAGAGTGGTTAATCGGGAGAAGAAAGAAAATTAGAATCAGAAATGGGCGTCAAAAATACACGTGAGCAAAGGCTCAATGTGTTGTTTTAAAAATAAGAAAATGTTTTAATTTTATAATATTACCAGAAGTCGTTTTATCATTAAATCATTAATCGGTCTCTTTTTGTTGTGTTTGATCATTGTTTTTCTGTCTGCTAGTGCCGGACCTCAAAAGTGTGCCAGCTGTATTCAGGAAGGAATATACGAAGAAGGAACTTCTATTTTGGAAACAAGCTCGGTAAGAAAAAATGCATTTTAAAAAATGAAGAAGCTCACCGATGTCGTTAATACCACTTGCAGTTTTTGTTTAAAACACAAGTTCTGAGAATCCCTTATTCCTAGGAAACATTTTCGTCAGTAGTGAGAGTTATGATTAATGTGGCGGACTCCCCAGCTTCTCAAATCCAGGTCATGTTAATATAGCGGTGGCCTACTTAAGCGCTGTAATAATGATTAGTTTGCCATTAGCACACCTGTGAGGATGCGATGTGGCAACTGGCCTGGGAGGAGTCTTAGTAAAGTCTTAGTAAAGATTTAAGAGACCCGACCAAAACCCCGACCCCTCAGTAATTTTTGTGGTTTGCTTGTTTTTTCCATTTTAGGCTTTCCCAGACAACGCAGCTCGTCGGGAGGTGGAAAGTTTGCCTGCTGTCTGTATTAACAGCGGCTGCACTTGGAAGGGGACTATTAAAGAATACGAGGTAAAGATCAAAGCAAGGCTTTCGATGTCTGCGTCCTTTTTCTTTCCTCTGTGTTTGGGCAAAGTTCAGGCGGTTTTTTTGCCTGTCCGCTGACATTGGCAGTGGCGGTGGGAGCTGTCAGCTTCCTGGACTTCACTGTAAGCTGGAGCGATTTCTGGGCTGAGGTAGGTTTGTGTGCCCTGCTGAGGGCACAGGCTGAACTGAAACAATTTCAGATTTCCTTGTGATCGCAGGCACCAAGCATGTCCCTTCCGTGGTGGGAACCACCCGCTCTATCTCCAACTCCTTTCTTGCTATAAAAGACTTTCTGCTCTAACTGTCAAGAAACTATGCTGTGCCATGAAATTGTTGCGAAGTTCTCTGTGTTATATGAACCTAAAACCTACGTCAGACCCATGAGCTTGGGGAAAGTGCCATGAAAGCGCTGGAAACAGGCCACGATCCTGTTTCCAGCCAGCTGCCCCTGTAGCTACCAGGGCAGTGGGACTGGGCGTTACTCACTGGCTGGCCACCCGTCGCTCCGAGCTGTTCTGGGCCACGAACCTGCTGGACAAGATGGTTTTTCCACCCCTACTCTTCTCGAGGAGCCCATCAGCTCTTTCATCCATGCCTTCTTTTTGTGGCCCTGGTCCTTAGCACGTATACAGCTAATGTGCATCGTGAGAAGTGTGTTCTTGCTGAGGATGGCAGTGGACTACATGCTTCCCTGTGCTTTCCGACAAGTCAACTCTGCTGTGACAACTTGCATCGTTAAAATGCATTAGCAGTTAGTAGCGAATGTATATTCACCTGTGAAGCTTTGGAGCTCCTGAAGGACAGGTCTGTCATCCCCCTTGGAATGGAAGAACCACCATGTGGGGGGCCTGAGATAAGAGGAATACATTTTATTTCCCTCTGACACTTGCCCTAGGTAAGATTGTAGCCCTGTGGAGCTTTGGTAGTGACTGAGGTGTGTGTCAGGAAAAGGTTTAACCTTGGTCTGTCTAGGCTAACATTTGGATTCTCTTTGCAATGCCACTGCAAGGTGGCAGGAAGAAACAACAGCTGTGGATCACGCCTGAGTTTTCTGCGTAGCTTGCTGAGCCTGTTAACAGAGAGATGCTTCTGTGCCTCTGCTTCCTTGGCCTGCTGTCTAGAACCTTCCACTTCTTCATGCTAAAAGTTCAGTCCAAAAGATGAGGGGATGCAGGGTGCTAAATGGTTCTCCTGCTGTGAAGCCCTGAAAGGGTACAGTGTGTTTTACTGAGGTTCCAGGTTCAAGCTGTGCTGTTGGTGCCTGCAGATTGTTGGACCCACGCTTTAATTTCTGCTGGTGACCAGTGACTAGGAGTCTGATGCCCACTGCAGTGTCCAAAATGGTGACTGTAGTAAGTGAGCTCATCTCCGTTAGACTAAACCAAACTATATTTGTCAGCAGCTTCCAATGCTATTGATTGTGCTGTGACTGATGAGCTCTTCTGGTTTAAAAAAAATCTTGAAGAGTTCCTGCAGGGCTCAGCAAAAATCATCAGCTGCCAAAGGTCCTCCCTGTGTGGTCTTACAAGTGTTTGAACGCAGGCTTGAGTCCAGCCAGGACTTGCGCTAGAAGTTCAAAAGGGCAATGAGTTGTCCTGGGATAAGTCTTGTCGTCTTGCAAGGCGGCGCGTGTGTGTGATGCTCCGGGTTCTTCTGCACAACGGCTTAAGAGCGTCTGAACTGATAAGGCTGTGCCTCTTTTTTGAGTCCAGCCAGGACTTGCGCTAGAAGTTCAAAAGGGCAATGAGTTGTCCTGGGATAAGTCTTGTCGTCTTGCAAGGCGGCGCGTGTGTGTGATGCTCCGGGTTCTTCTGCACAACGGCTTAAGAGCGTCTGAACTGATAAGGCTGTGCCTCCTTTTTTTTTTTTTTCTTTTTTTACCCTCCACCTAATCTTCAAGAGGTCCTGTTAGGTGCTTTGCTAAAACAGAGTACGTTTCGTAGAGGTGCGGCTCCGGAGCGCTTGGGCCGCAGGTCTGCAGCGCTGATCTTGACTGTCACGGTTTTTGTTAGTCTTGGGGCAGCCTTGTGCAATGAAAGGGGAGCGGGGATTTCGAGCAGTGCTAGTTGGTTCGTCTCGGGATTGAGCCTCTCTTGCCTACCTCGGGTGGCATTCAGTCTAATGGGGGTAAGGTTATTTTGTGCCCTTTTGGGAAAAGCTGATTCTTTCCTGAGAACTGGTGGGAGGAGGCAAGGTCTGGCTTGCGTTCTCTCTCCTCCCAGCTGCCTGCCAAAGAGCTGTGGCATTTAATCAGGCCTGGCTGTCCTCATGTGGTCGGAGCTTAGGAGATGGTAAGTGTGGCTGAAGGAGGGCCGATGAAAGGAGGCGTCAAACGACCGTGTTAGCCCAGAGTCTCTCTTGGTACCATGGACTAATGTTAAACCCTGCCTTACGGGTAGGCTTGTTAGTTTAGTGCCGCAAAGTAGAGTTTGCCTCGTGCAGTATGGTTGCATCTGTAGCCAGCAATGTGTGTAACGTCCTGCAGCAGCTCAGCGCTCCCACTATGGAAAGTCCCTTGCTGCGCTATTTCCGACAGGACATGGAAAGTCCCTAAGAGCAAATTCATTGTTTGCTAATTTAAAAATCGTGTGTTCGTACTGAGAGACTTAGTCGGCTGCTATCCACTTACAAATCAAGAGATACTGTCACTTCTGGTTTGCTAATCTTATCAGGGCACGAACAAGGGAAAAAAATGTTCTGCAGCTGAAAAGCTCTAGGTCTTCAACTTCAAAAAAATTAATAAAACTGATTTCAGTTTTGCTTTCTGTTCAGGCAGACCAAAGTTCAGGTCTCAAAGGGACATACAAAACTGAAAGAGTTCAGTCTGCTTGGATGTGACTTGCACTTCTGCTTAAAGCTGTGTGAAGCGTGTGAAATATTTAAGTGCTTAGCACATGTCTGTGTTTATAAATGCATTTTTCAGAGTTTGTAAATATTGTAAATATTTAGTGGCATTTGGATAAAGCAGTTTGTGGTGGGGCTGCAGGGTTTTTCCTTTTAATCAGTAACCTCTTCTCATGTATAGGTTTCCTGATGAGTCTGCCTGAATGTACATACAGAAAAGCAGGCTGTGGGCAGGAGCCTTTAGATTCAGGTGGAAATTCTGAGGAGGGTTGCAGAAACTAAAACTAGCCCGTTAGAGCAAAAGGAAAGACCAAGAAAACATGTCCTGTGATATCCAAGTAGAGGGAGTTTGTGGGTTCTCAGCACTGGAGTGTTTCTTTTCTTGCCTTGCAGTACCTCCAATTGCCTACGTCTCTCTCCTGTTTTATCAACATATCTTCAGTTCTCATATACCTGTTATTTATGCTTTGCATACTGCCAGCTCCCTTTCTTTGCCCCCCACCAGGATTGGGATGGGAGGAGGGGGCTGCAGAGGGGTGTTCACGTGGTCAGCCTTGGCATTTCCATTTGTTACCCCAGACAGAGGTTTTAACTATGCCCTGTTCATCTCAGGAGATACGGAATTACTTGAGACATAAAGAAATGTTACCCCAGACAGAGGTTTTAACTATGCCCCGTTCATCTCAGGAGATACAGAATTACTTGAGACATAAAGAAATTGAATTGTCTAAGTTTTGGAAGGAGAACTAAGTTTTAAGCTTAATCCTGACAGCAGTATTTAAACTAAGTTGGGAGGGGTGTTGCTAGGAAAACAGATGAGCTCGGCTAATGAGGATGGGTGACTGTCATCTGTTGTGATAACCTATCCTAATCCAAACTGGAGGGGATGTGTTTTCCTTGTAGTCAGTTGTCACCATGGTTTTGAAGAATTCACTTTAATTGAAGCCTGGAAGGCTGTGGAAGATGCAAAACTCAGAATTTAAGTGATGTTACTCCAAAGCCCGTGGTGTTGGAGAGTATGTCTGCAGCCCCTTCTGGGCTACGTGGCTTCCTGGGACCAGGAGGACAAGGTAACTGGGCTGTGCCTTCTTGCCCAGCGTTCCTACTGGGAGGTGCTGGAGAAGCGCTGCTGCACCTCGTGTAGAGAAAACTGTCTCTCTTCAAAAATGCTGCTGGGGGCTCTGAGCCAGGGGGTTCTCCTGCTTCGTGATGCTTCACCGTTTCATGCCCTCCCTTTCCAGCTGCATCCCAGGAATGCCCTGGTGGTGATTTTCAGCTTAGGCTAAAAACTTCAGCTTCAGGCTTTTGCACATTGCTTAGAACAGAGCTGCTGGTCTCCGAAGCTACTTCACCTGGCTCCTGTTGCCTCCGAAGTGTACTTCCGAGTGTTTTATAGCGGTGTTGTCTGCATGGATACAGCATTTTAGGCGCTGTGGCAGGCACACTTGATGATGCTGCAGCAGGGCAACCAGCCTTCCTTTTAAAATCGGGTACAGCATTTATTGTCTTTTTCTGAAGGTTTTGGCTCCAAGTTACAGTATGGTGTCAAAGTGCAGTTTGCAGCCAGCTCCGGCCTGATCAGCAGTTTGTCCCAGGACCAGACCACTTTCTTGTGGGAGGATCCCTGACTTCCACATGCAGGTGACCAAAAGGACCTCCTGCTTTGGAAAAAGGGATCTGACACACCTTTACTTTCCAGAGCTGGAGCTGAGGTCCCCAAACAAAACCTGGCCTCCCTTACAGTCCCCGAAGTAGAGTTTATGTAGCTGGCTGCCCAGACACAAGGCAGTTTCCCATCCAAGCCCGTGGTGGGAGGTAAGCCACGGGGAGTGCCGGAGAGCACGTGTGGGAGGGGGTTGGAAAGCCCCAGCTGTAGAGGGTCTGCTCTTAGCTTCTAAAAACAGCTCAGCCTTCTTGCGGTGGCCCACCTAATTAACAGTTTTGGCATCTGCCCCTTGAAAAACGAAAAGCTGCAAGTCGTGAGCTTTGAAGCTGAGGCGAGTGCTCTGTGTCCCTTCTAAGCCGTGATGAACGCCCTCAGCATGAACGCAGCTTTGGGAGTTGTGGGGCAGCACTTCACGCCCAGGGAGATGTTTCTGGGGCTCCAGGTGTCTGGCAGGAGCCAAAGCTGTGATCACACA